GGTCAAGACATCAAGACCATCCTGGCCAACATGGTGAAACCCCGTCTCTAATAAAAATACAAAAATTAGCTGGTCATGGTGGCATGTGCCTGTAGTCCCAGCTACTTGGGAGGCTGAGGCAAGAGAATCACTTGAACCCGGGAGGTAGAGGTTGCAGTGAGCCAAGATCATGCCACTGCACTCTAGCCTGGCGATAGAGCAAGACTTCATCTCAAAAAAAAAAAAAAAAAAAAAAAAGCGCTTCCTTATTTTATAGACAGGGAAAACAAAAAATATAAAAAACATAAGAACAGTAATGCATATGTGATATGTGTCTATGTCAGAGGCATTTGAGCCAAAGTGACTCCATCTTGAATAGGGGTTGGTAAAATGAGGCTGAGACCTGCTGGGTTGCATTCCCAGGAGGTTAGGTATTCTTAGTCACAGGATGAGACAGGAGGTCGGCAAAGATACAGGTCACAAAGACCCTGCTGATAAAACAGGATCCAGTAAGGAAGCTGGCCAAAACCCACCAAAACCAAGATGGCGATGCAGGTGACCTCTGGTTGTCCTCACTGCTCATTATATGCTAATTATACATTAGCATGCTAAAAGACACTCCCACCAGCACCATGACAGTTTGTAAATACCATTCCAACTCTTGGAAATTACCCTATATGGTCTAAAAGGAGGAGGAGTCCTCAGTTGTGGGGAGGGGAGAAATCTCCATCTCCTTCCCTGAAAACTCATGAATAACCCATCCTTTGTTTAGGCATATGATCAAGAAATAACCAGCTGGGCACGGTGGCTCATGCCTGTAATCCCAGCACTTTGGGAGGCTGAGGTGGGCAGATCACTTGAGGTCAGGAGCTCAAGACCAGTCTGGCCAACATGATGAAACCCTGTCTATACTAAAAATACAAAACAGTTAGTCAGGCATTGTGGTGTGTGCCTGTAATCCCAGCTACTCAGGAGGCTGAGGCAGGAGAATTACTTGAACCCAGGAGGCAGAGGTAGCAGTGAGCCAAGATTGCGCCACTGCCCTCCAGCCTGGGCAAGAGAGCAAGACTCCATCTCAAAAAAAAAAATAATAAAGAAGGAACCATGAAAATAGCCAACCAGCAGCCCTCAGGGCTGCTTTGCCTGTAGAGCAGACATTCTTTTGTTTCTTTTTTTTTTTGATGGAGTCTTGCTCTGTCGCCAGGCAGGAACACAGTGATGCAGTCTTGGCTCACTGCAACCTCTGCCTCTCGGGTTCAAGCGATTTTTCCACCTCAGCCGGGAGTACAGGCACATACCACCATGACCAGCTAATTTTTTTGTATTTTTAGTAGAGACAGGGTTTCACCGTGTTGGCCAGGATGGTCTCGATCTCTTGACTTCGTGATCCACCCGCCTCAGCCTCCCAAAGTGCTGGGATTACAGGCATGAGCCACCGTGCCCAGCCTCTTTTGTTTCTTTACTTCCCTAGGAAACTTCCTTACTTTACGGACTAGCCCAGAATTCTTGCACGAGATCCAAAAAGCCCTCTCTTGGGGTCTGGATCCAGACTTCTTTCCGGTAATGATACCCTTTTCATATACTAACCCATTTAATCCTCACAATGATCCTGTGCGGTAGGCCCGGTTATTATCTTCATATTCCATGTGGGAAAAATGAGGCCTAAAGGTGAGGAGGTTCCCAAGTTCACCCAAGGAGTAAGCAGTCCGCAAGACTAGGAGCCTGGGATTTGCACCATGGCAATCTGGCTCCGTCTCCCATTGGCCACTGCGATGCTAGCTGGGTGGAGAGAGCACAGGTCCCATGGCGGGGAGAGTACAATAAACCCAGGAATCCTGTCTTCCAGGTCTCTCCACACAATTAACCTATTCAAAACTTCATGGACAGTCCAGCAAGCTTGTCCAACCCACAGCCTGCAGACCCCGTGCAGCCCAGGACAGCTTTGAATGGGCCCAGAACAAATTCATAAATTTTTTACTTTTTTTTTTTTTTTTAAGAGATGGGGTCTCACTATGTTGCCCAGGCTGGAGTGCAGTGGCTATTCACAGGCACGATCCCACTACTGATCAGCACGAGTTTTGACCTGCTCCGTTTCCGACCTGGGCCGGATCACCCCTCTTTAGGCAACCTGGTGGTCCCCTGCTCCGGGGAGGTCACCATATTGATGCCGAACTTAGTGCGGACACCCGATCGGCATAGCGCACTACAGCCCAGAACTCCTGGACTCAAGCGATCCTCCCACCTCAGCCTCCCGAGTAGCTGAGACTACAGGCACGCGCCACTGCCCCCGGCCAATTCATAAATTTTCTTAAAACATTATGAGTTCTTGGTCAGGCACGGTGGCTGACATCTGTAATCCCAGCACTTTGGGAGGCTGAGGTGGGCGGATCACCTGAGGTTAGGAGTTCGAGACCAGTCTGACCAACATAGAAAAACCCAGTCTCTACTAAAAAGACAAAATCAGCTGGGCATGATGGCGTATGCTTGTATTCCCAGCTACTCAGGAGGCTGAGGCAGGAGAATCGCTTGAACCCGAGAGGCGGAGGCTGTGGTGGGCTGAGATCACACCATTGCACTTCAGCCTGGGGGACAAGAGTTGAAACTCAGTCTCAAAAAAGAAAAAATTATGAGGGGCTTTTTTTGCGATTTTTTTAAAGTTCATCTGCCATCGTTAGTGTTACCGTATTTTATGTGTGGGGCAAGACAATTCTTCCAATGTGGCCCAGGGAAACCAAACAATTGGACACCCCTGGATGATGAAAAAGAAGACTCTTCAGCTCCCGCTGTCACCAAAGCCCCACCTCAGTTCCTGCCCTTAGGTAACACCAAGAGAGCAAGATGGAATTTTACCAAACCGCTCTAGGTTCCTTCCCTAAGAGACTAGAAATGCCCTGGGGACTGCCTGCCTTTGAGGCGAAATTTTTTTCCTTTTTTAAAAAAGTGGTAAACATCTGAAAATAGGGTTTTCTAAAGAAAGTGACTCTTCCGTTGTAATTATAGCAGAGTGGGCCATTGCTTTCTATCAGCAAGAAAACGACTTCTACTTTTTTTTTTTTCTTTTCTTTTTTTTTTTTTTTTTGAGACGGAGAGTTGATTTCTGCTCACTGAAACCTCCACCTCCCGGGGTCAAGCGATTCTTCTTCCTCATCTTCCCGAGTAGTGGGGACTGCAGGTGCCCGCCACCATACCAGGCTATTTTTTCTTTTTCTTTTTTTTTTTTTTTTTTTTTTTTTGTATTTTTAGTAGAGATGGGGTTTTACCATGTTGGCCAGGCTGGTCCTGAACTCCCGGCCTCTGATTATCTGCCCGCCTAGGCCTCCCAAATTATGGGATTACAGGTGTGAGTCACTGCTCCTGGCCGCTGCTACTAAATATACCCTGTATATTGCAAATCCCCAAGGAGTGCCAGCCTCCAACTCCATTCCGTGTTTCGTCCCTCGAAGGCTGGGGACACCGTGCACGCTGGGCGGAGAGGAGGGCTCCCTCCGGAGTGGCCTCAGCCCCGCCAAGTGTCCCTCCCCAGCAGGCTTCGGGCTCAGACCCAAATGGTGGGGGAGGAAAAGGGGGTTGGTTTCATGCCTGACGTTCTTTGGAGCGAGTTGCTTCTTTCTTATGCGCAAGGATCAAGGGTGCATTTGCAAACTTTTCAAAATACCTTAGAAGAGGTAGGAGTTAAGCCCTCGGGATCCGGAGTGGGAGGAGGAGAGGCAGTAAAACAGCGGAATGGTTGGTGGAAATGGAGTCAGTAATGGCTTCTGTCATAGCCTCGGGCGGGGACTCGCCTGCTCATTTTCTATTTCCAACCCAATGGCAGGCACTGAGTACTGTGCTCAACCTAGCAATTTGGAGAAGGCGGTGGATATGCATATAACAGAACAGGACCAAACAGAAGTTCCTCCCGCCTCTGCTGGGCAATCTCTAATGACCCTTGGGGAATGTTCCAGACAGGCGTGGGCATCTGCGAATTTACTCACCTGAGAGCTGCCTCTGCCTCTCTCTCTCTCTCTTTTTTTTTTTTTTTGAGGCTGAGTCTTGCTCTGCCACCAGGTTGGAGTGGAGTGACACGATCTTGGCTCACTGCCACCTCTGCTTCCTGGGTTTAAGCAATTCTCCTGCCTCAGTCTCCTGAGTAGCTAGGCCTACAGGCAACTGCCACCAGGCCCAGCTAATTTTTATTTTTAGTAGAAACGGGGTTTCACCATATTGACCAGGATGGTTTCGATCTCTTGACCTCGTGATCCGCCCACCTCACCTCCCAAAGTGCTGGGGTTACAGTCGTGAACCTCCTGCGACTGAACCTGCTTCTACCTCTTGATCCCTGGGATCAGAAATGAGAAATGCAAGGTCTGTCCCTGTGTGTACATTTGTAATTGTAATTCACAATCCCCTTTCTTGCTCCTCACCCCATTTTCAGTTAAGAGAAAAAGGTGAAAATCACAAAGCACAAATTATTTCCAGGAAACGATCTGAAACTCCCGGAAGGCTAGATTCAGGTATAAACAGGGTAGAACTCTAGGTTTCTTCAGTGTTCCTTAGGGGCTGAGCTTCCTGCATGCCCTTGAAAATTAGAGATTATTTTTTAACACTTCAGAATTATTCCAGAAAGTCATGCAGATGAGAAGATAACCAGGTTGTGAAGGAAGCCCAAGACATTTGGTAGGGATGCTCAAGTTTTGGGGAAGGTCAGCTGAAATAGCAATTTGTGGGTAGACCATTAGCAGGGAGTTGACTGGAGAATTAATCAGAGATTGAAGGGACGTGGGGGACCAGGAGGATGAAGTTGGAACTCAGGCTCAGGATATGGAAAAAGATTCAATAAAGCTGAGAGTCCTGTGTGCTCAGGCTTCAAAGTCCTAACCAGCCCCAGGGCGTATAAGGCACGCTGGTAAGTAGAATCAGAGATTCCATTCAGCAAAAGCAGACAGGAAAACAAATCTCTTTTCTTTGTTTGTCCTGGTTGAAAACCAAACACGGTAGCCATCTGATGAAATTCCAGTGTCAGGAGTGTTTGGGCAGGGGAGGGAGGGTAAAATTGCAGCTAGCCTCTGACCACAGGGAAATCAACCTAACGGCTTCTCTCAGGCCATTCTCCAGCCCTGCACCCTGGAATGTTCACGGGGTGTCTGTGCATCTGCCCTAATTCCAGCCCACAGGACACTTGTTCACTCTTTCTTGTGACCCCAACATGTCAACTGGCAAGACTCAACATTCCTGTCTGGGACGGAGCAGCTTGAACCACTTGTATGAGTCACAGGTAATTTTCAGCAGTGTGGGATGTGGGAAAACACTGAAGAGAAGTACTAGGTCCTGAGGAGGCTTAGCGTTAGGGGAATGGAGATGGGGGTGGGGGTGTGGGTAGGGAGAAGGCTCCAAAGGTTAACTGCAATGTCTCCCAGTTTTCACGCACCTTCATCAACACAGACAAATCCCAGTTGGTCCACTAACAGCTTTAGAAAACCTGACCTTTTGTAAAAATGTGGAAACTAAAGTTACAGCCCTTTCTGGAGTGTGGAAGCTTTGGAAACAAGGCACCACAGTGAGGCAAGCCGGGGAGGCCAGTCCAAACCAGGACCAAGTGTGTGCCATCAGCACGAAAGGTTAGTGGGCCGGGCTAAACGTGGGTAAGATCTCACAGGATCTTAGATCCACTGTATTTTCTGTCAGTAGATTTCAATCAGAAAGGTTGTGAAATACATCTCAGCCTGGCATTGGGCTTGGGGCAAAGATCTATGACTTTCTTTTCCAGGGAAGTTCTCTGAGAACTGAATCAATTCCTGCCCTCTAATCTATATTGCATTCCTTCCTGAACCAGCCTACCTAAAAAACTGCTCCACTCCTCCATTAAAAAAAAAAAAAAAAAATCATATCATTTAAAAATTTTGAGGCTGGGCACAGTGGCCCATGCCTATAATTCCAGAAATTTGGGAGCTGAGGTAGGTGGATCACGTGAGGGCAGGAGTTCAAGACCAGCCTGGCCAACATGGTGAAATCCCATCTCTATTAAAATGCAAAAATTAGCCAAGCGTGGTGGCCCATGCCTGTAGTCCCAGCTACTCGGGAGGCTAAGGCAGGAGAATCATTTGAACCCAGGAGGTGGAGGTTGCAGTGAGCCAAGATTGCACCACTGCACTCCATCCTGGACTACAGAGAGAGATTGTCAAAACAAACAAAGAAAAAACCATTTTTGAGTTTGCTACTGTCTACTAAATCAAGGACACATTCCTTTGCCTGGTCATTTAAAACTCCTCCATAATTCGGCCCCACCCCACCTATCCACTTGTGCTTCCCCCGACAACACACAGCCTGATCTGGTCAGAAAGGCCTTTAACCCATTCCTGACTGTTTAATTACCAGTTCACATTCAATCCTGAATCTGAATTTATTCTTCTTTAAAAACCAAAAGATCCCACTTTAGGATATTTTGCCAACTATTTCAATTTTCATTTCTCCATCTCCAAGTAATTACCAAGTCACTCCTTGATATATATACACCTCCCCAATTAGACTGTAAGCCATCATGAATTTTAAGTTATAGTGCCTCACATAAGTTGTGCTCAAGAAATAAGTGTTGATCAGTTGCAGTTCTTTTTCTTCTGCAGTTAAAGGCCAAACACACCCAAAATCAGTCTCCTACCAATCCTGACTTGGGTCCTCTAAATTTAGTAGCACAGAGGGAAAATATAGAGAGTGATTGTACCTAAGATATTAAGGGGGGATGAGATCAAGATAGAAAAATGTTTGTCCAACCCTGACATTTTAAATGCTCATCTGAAAATTGGCACCTCCAGAGTGTTGCTCTCTTCAGAGCATTCAAACCCAGGGCACCGTAACATTAAATTCCTTTGGGTTTAAGACTTTTCCTCCTAATTCTCCTTCTCTTTGAGGGAATGGTATAAGTCAAGAGGTTGAAAGAAACCATATACTTCTTTTTTAAAAAAATAGAGACAGGATCTGGTCATATTGCCCAGGCTGGCCTAGAATTCTTGGGCTCAAGCTATCCTCCCGCATCGGCCTGCCAAAGTGCTGGGATTACAGGTGTCAATTACTGCACCCAGTCCCCATATACTTCTGTCTCTCTCTCTCTTTTTTTTGAGACAGATTGTTACTCTTGTAGCCTAGGCTGGAGTGCAATGGCACAATCTTGGCTCACTGCAACCTCTGCCTCCCGGGTTCAAACGATTCTCCTGCCTCAGCCTCCTGAGTAGCTGGGGTTACAGGCATGCGCCACCACACCCTAACTTTTGTATTTTTAGTAGAGACAGTTTTACCATGTTGGCCAGGCTTGTCTCGAACTCCTGACCTCAGGTGATCCGTCTGCCTCGGCCTCCCAAAGTGCTGGGATTGCAGGCATGAGCCACCACGCCCAGCCCCTGAATACTTCTTAAAATGCAATCAAGCAGACATACAGACCTGTGGAATAGAATAGAGTCCAGAAATAAACCCTTGCATATATGGTAAATTGATTTTCACCAAGGGTTCCAAGACCATTCAGTAGGGAAAGGATAATGTTTTCAACAAATGAGGCTGGAAAAACTGGATAGACCCACATACAAAAGAATGAAACTGGACCTTTACCTTATATCATACACAGAAAGTAACTCAAAATGGATCAAAGACCTAAATTTAAGAGTTAACACTGTAAAACTCTTCGAAGAAAACATAGGGAAAAGTCAGGGGAGGAAGGCAGCAACACACTGCCATGTGTGTACCTATGCAACTATCTTGCATGTTCTGCACATGTACCCCAAAACCTAAATGCAATTAAAAAAAAAAGAAAACATAGGGAAAAGTCTTCGTGACACTGGACTTCGCAATGATTTCTAGAATATGACAGCAAAATCGCAGGCAACAAAAGAAAAACCAGATAAATTAGATTTTATCAAAATACAGAATTTGTGCATCAAAGGACACTATTAAGAGTGAAAAGGGCCAGGCACAATGGCTCATGCCTGTAATCCCAGCACTTTGGGAGGTCGAGGCGGGTAGATCACCTGAGGTCAGGAGTTCGAGACCAGCCTGGCCAACATGGTGAAACCCTGTCTCTAATAAGAATATAAAAAATTAGCTGGGCATGGTGGTGGGTGCCTATAATTCCAGGTACTTGGGAGGCTGAGACAGGAGAATCCCTTGAGCCTGGGAGGCGGAGGTTGCCGTGAGCCGAGACTGTGCCACTGCACTCCAGCCTAGGCAACAGATCGAGACTCCATCTCAGAAAATAAAAATTAAAAAATAAAAGAGTGAAAATAAAGCCTACAGAATTGGAAAAAAAAATTGTAAATAACATTTCTCTTAAGGAATTAATATCCAGAATATTTTTTTAAAAGGAGAAAACAAAACAACCCAATTCAAAAAAAGGGAAAGAACTAGGGTAGACATTTCTTCAAAGAAGATACATGTTGCATTGGAACCAAATCGTTTTCCGAATGCTAAAAAACAGAAAGAAAAAGAAAAAGAAAAAAAAAAAGAGAAAGAAGACAAAGAAGATACACGAACAGCCGACAATCAGGAGAAAAGAGGCTCAATGTCACTGGGCATTAGACAAACGCAAATCAAAACAAAATGCGATGCAGCCTCTTACCTGTTAGGATGACTATTTGGAAAAATTGAAAGAGGAAAAAAAAGCAAGTTTTGGCAAGGATATGGAGAAATTGAAATTCTTGAGCATGACTGGTGAGAATGTAAACGATGCAGCCACTGTGGAAAACAGCTTGGCAGTTCCTCAAAAAGTTAAACAGAGAATTACCATATGACTTAGCAAATTCATTCCTAGGTGTGTACCCCAAAAAATTGAAAGAAAGGACCCAGGTACCTATACATCAATGTTCATACCAGCATATTCACAATAGCTAAAAGTTCAGTGTCCATCAGCAGATGAATGGATAAGCAAAATGTGATATATTAATACAATGGAGTATTATTCAGGCTTAGAAAGGAAAATTTCTGGCTGGGCACGGTGGCTCTCACCTGTAATCCCAGCACTTTAGGAGGCTGACACGGGCAGATCACGAGGTCAGGAGTTCAAGACCAGCCTGGCTAACTTGGCAAAACCTTGTCTCTACTAAAAATATAAAAATTAGCTGGGCATGGTGGCACATCCGTGTAATCCTAGCTACTCCAGAGGCTGAGGCAGGAGAACTGCTTGAACCCAGGAGGCAGAGGTTGCAGTGAGCCAAGAGCCCGACACTGCACTCCAGCCTGGGTGGCAAAGCAAGACTCTGTCTCAAAAAAAAAAAAAGGCTGGGCGCAGTGGTTCACATTTGTTATCCCAGCACTTTGGGAGGCTGAGGCGGGTGAATCACAAGGTCAGGAGTTGGAGACCACCCTGTCTGTACTAAAAATACAAAAATTAGCTAGGTGTGGTGGCTCATGCCTGTAATACCAGCTGCTCAGGAGGCTGAGGCAGGAGAATCGCTTGAACCCAGGAGGTGGAGGTTGCAGTGAGCTGAGATTGTGCCATTGCACTCCAGCCTGGGTGACAAGAGGTTTGTAAAAAAAAGGAGTTCTCAAAAAGAAAAGTCATACAACATTGTCAATGTACTTAATGCCACTGACTTGTACACTTAAAATCGTTAAAAGGGAAAAAAGATCATTCTTGTGTTCCTATATCTTACCACAGATGTTTACAAAAGAAACAGAAAGTAAATCTCATCAGGAGGAAAAAGTCAGACAAACCCAAAATGTTGGGTCATTCTCCAGAAAAATTGACCTCCACTCTTCAAAAATGTCAAGATCATAAAAGGACAAAAAAGGTGAGTTGGGTACTGTTACAGATAAAAAAAAAAAAGACTTAAGAGACAGGACAAGCAAATGCAATGAGTAATTATTGATTATATTTTAATTTAAAAAAAGGAAAAGCCCAGGCACAGTGACTCACACCTGTAATCCCAGCACTTTTGGGAGGTGGATCCCCTGAGGTCGGGAGTTCAAGACAGACTGACCAACATGGTGAAACCCCATCTCTACTAAAAATGCAAAAAAATTAGCCGGGCGTGGTGGCATGAGCCTGTAATCCAGCTACTTGGGAGGTTGAGGCAGGAGAATCGCTTGAACTGGGAGGCATAGGTTGCGGTGAGCAGAAATCACGCCACTTGCACTCCAGCCTGGGTGACGCAGCAAGACTCCATCTCAAAAAAAAAAAAAGGTCATTAAAGAAAGGGAAAGATTTGTTAAGGGCACCATTCAGACACTTGGGAAAAGTGAATATGAACTATGTATCAACATTCAGTGTTTTCGGAGTGATAATATCGGAGCTATGTAGAATACTTTTTAGGAGATATGTGCTGAAGTATATTTAGGTATGATGGCTGCAACTTAACTTTCAATATATATATATATCTAAAGTAAGTAAGTGAATATGGCAAAACTGATGGATGTAGCTGCAAGTTTAAAGGTGTCCATTGTGCTACCTTTCCACTTTTCCATATTGGAAAATAAAAAGGAGACAAAATGGGTTAGCCAGTTTGGTCCCCAACTGATCAGGGAAACACTGACTTTCTGTGAATCTGTAAGCAAAATATTGATCTGGTTGCCACACTGGGTCACCCTATTTTATTGAACTAACTCCTCAGGGCTGCCAGAAGGCAGTGCTGGCACGGAGTGTTTGGGAGGTGGGGACCGACACCTCTCTCCATTCATTGTGACTCCTCCCCACGAGGCCTTCATTGCCTTCCAGGGCTTGCTTCTCTGCTCTCCCACTGGACTTGCTATCTGTCACCTACCTTGACACTTCAGGATCTACTGTGTTGTCTTTTTGTATATACTGAGGTTGTAAGTTCCCAAGGGCAGGGACAGGTCTCACTTTTACTTTTAAAAATGTATTTATTCATGAGACAGAGTCTGCTGGCTCTGTTCCAGGCTGGAGTGCAGTGGCACAATCATGGCTCACTGCAACCAGGCTCCTGTGATCCTCCTGCCTCCATCTCCCAAGTAGCTGGGATGACAGACACGTGCCACCACAACCAGCTAATTTTCAAACTTTTCTTAGAGAGGGTTTCCAACTATGTTGCTGAGGCTAATCTCGAACTCCTAGGCTCAGGCAATCTGCCTCAGCCTCCCAAAGTGCTAGAATTACAGGTGTGAGCCCCCACCATGCCTAGCCAGGTCTTACAACCTTCCCACCCCACTTTCCAAACCCCATGCTTTGCACAGAGCTACATAAACACAGATTTTCCTAGGAATTAATTATTAATTTTCCCATGAGTATGGAGAGAGAGTGTGGAAGTGTAAGTAGATAAGTTAGGGGTCAAAAGGGTGACCTCAGCCAGGCACAGTGGCTGACACCTGTAAGCCCAGCACTTTGGGAGGCCAAGGTGGGCAGATCACTTGAGGTCAGGAGTTTGAGACCAGCCTGGCCAACATGGTGAAACCCCTTCTCTATCGAAAATACAAAAATTACCCAGGCTTGGTTGTAGGCACCCACCCTGTAATCCCAGCTACTCAGGAGGCTGAGGCAGGAGAATCACTTGAACCTGGGAGGAAGAGGTTGCAGTGAGCCAAGAATGTACCACTGCACTCCAGCCTGGAAGTCAGAGTGAGACTCCATCTCATAAAAAGAAAAAGGTTTACCCCAATTAATGTACCCCAAATGCTGCTGGGCAGGGCCCTGCAGAAGGAATGTTACGTGTGGGCTTTGACACAACCCAATTCCCTGTGGCAACCAGGTGTTGCAGGTTTAGGTGAGTGATTAGTGCTTACGGGTGGGGTAAAAGAAATACAGCCTTGGCTTATGAATACCTAGGCACAGAATGTCCCCAGCTCGGCCCTGTGGGGCAACTGTTCTCACAACCCTGTGAGTTCTTCCCAAGGAATCAGGCCAAACAAAGGATTAAAGACCTCAAAAAAAGGGAGTTCTCATTCCAGATCCTTCAGCAGAGTCACTGTACCTTGAAGGACCGGTACCATTTGTGCTTCAGGGAAGACAACACGACCTCTACCAGAGGTGGGAGTGGGAACTCTCCCCTGCACCCCTTGCTTTGGGAGGAAGGTGCTACCCACATGCTGAACCAGTTGCAGGAGAGCACCTAGGCCTGCTGCATTCCACCTCTTGCCGAGACACCCGCGTGCTTCTGTGTCGTAGCTTGTCAAGGGAGTGTAGACTTGTCCTTCTTGTCTTGAGTAAGTTTTCAGGGAGGCTGGAAGAACTAGAGGGTAAATTTCCTCTCTACTCCAGCCAGAGCATCCACGAGCCAGGCCCTCCACTCCAGTATATGCATACAATGTGTTGTTATTTCCTATTAAATCCGATCTTTTCACCCACCACTGAGTATTACTCTAGTTCTGACACTTAGTTTTAATCCAGTTTAATATTTTATACACAGGTTCTTGTACTGGTTTCCAATTGTTTTATGTAAGTCTTGAATTCCCCCACAAAATTACAAGCCTCTTGGTGAGCCGAGCTCTATCCTGCTCCAGCACCTAGGTGCTAAAGCACAGTACACATCCAGTACATGGTGAACATTAGATCAGTATCAACCAGCATATGGGAATCTGTAAATAATCTAGTGTATATCCATAGTAGGAAACTCCGCAACAGTTACAAATAATAAGGTGGATCTACATATTCTGACATGGAGAGATTTCTAGTTCATATTATTTTGCCCCCTAAAATTAAAGCATTCGGGAGCAGTACAAAACCCTTTATGTAGAAGGAAGTAGAAGAAACAAGGGTCTGGTCCATCCATCTGTTTATCTTCTTCCTCCTCCATATCCCTAGTCACAGACATTTGTTACAATCTAGTGTGGCAGAACTCAGTAATTTCCTGTATTTTCCCTTTCAAAAAGAACTGTAGTTAATGTGGTTTTTTTTTTTTTTTTTTGAGACCAAGTTTCACTCTTGTCGCCCAGGCTGGAGTGCAATGGCGCAATCTCAGCTCACTGCAACCTCCGCCTCCCAGGTTCAAGCAATTCTCCTGCCTCAGCCTCCCAAGTAGCTGGGATTACAAGCGTGCACCACCACATCCTGCTAATTTTTGTATTTTTAGTAGAGACAGGGTTTCTCCATGTTGGTCAGGCTGGTCTCAATCTCCCAATCTCAGGTGATCTGCTTGCTTTAGCCTTCCAAAGTGCTGGGATTACAGGCGTGAGCCACATCACCCAGCCAGTAGTCAATGTTGAATAAATGTCTAAGTCAGTTTCCATAGGACTGGCCACAATAATAGTCACACTTATGTAACATATGTATGGGGCAGGCATTGCTCATAGTGAGTCATATAAATTATCTCATTTAACCCTCACTATAGTTTTAAGACACTGAGGCACAGAGAGGTAAAGTAACTTGCCCTAGGTCAGACAGCACAGCAACGAAGTGGCTGACCCAGGATTCAAGCACGGACAGTCCAGCTTAGGAGCCTGTGTCTTCAGCCTCTCTGCTGAAGGTGCTTTTCTTTATTTCTACCTTTTATGTATGCCTCAGTGATGGTACTCAGAAAGCTGTGTAAGAAATAATGGAAAAGAAAAAAAAAATCCCCATTCCCACCCTAACCTATGGCTCTGTTTATGGACTTGCAGGTTTGAGGTACCTATAAGGAGCTACTGATGCCTTCTGGAAACTATGTGTGGGCTGCTAATGAGAGAACATGACCATTTGCTGTGACTGTGTTAGTCAAGTGATATACATAGATCGCCCCAGCAAGTGCCTCCTGAGGACTTGCAGCCCCAGCCCTAGATCATATCAAGTACAACTTCAGCTATTAATCTGGCTAATGATGGTCCAGGTGTAACAAATCCCACCTGATTGAAAGCGGCAGGGGTAGACGTGTTAACTTTTATAAAAACATAGGTACAAGGTATAAGATTGGGATTCTGATTCTTGGCTCCTCAAAGGCCTGAAGAATGAAGATTGATGCCATCTAAAAGCAAATTAGAAGACTTTGCCCAGGCCCAGGCCCTGGAATAGTATACTGGAGATGACACTGTGTTTAGAGTGCTGTTTCAGGTTAAATCAGCATACCTGCAATGTGCCAGACCTACTGTCACAGCAATATGTACCCTGGTTCGCAAACACAGTGTTTGCTCTCTGGCAGCCACATGCACTTGGAACTGGCAGTAATGACCTCACAAAAGCAGGAAAGCTGAGCAGTTAGTCAGATGATTAACAAGGTACTGAGATGGAAGAGTTGGGTATCACTTAATGGAAATATCTTGGCATCTCAGAATCAAAGTTTCCAAACTCGGAAGCAGTTTAGGAACCATCATATCCAAAATCCTTGCTTTACAAATGTGGCAACTGAAGCTTCAAAAAAAAAGGTAGGAGGTCTCAGGGCTCCTTGCCTGAACGAAGTAAAAGTGTGATTCTCCCAATACAATTTGCTCAGGCCTCCCTTTCAGTGACAGCAGGGCCTTTAGTCTCAGCTACAGCCGTTAAGTCATCCCCAGTGCTTGACTTCTATTTCTCCTTTCCTCTTAATGATTCTTTTTTTTTTTTATTCTTATTCTATTTTTGAGAGTCTTGCTCTGTCACCCAGGTTGGAGTGTAGTGGTACAATATGGGCTCACTGCAACCTCAGCCTCCAGTGTTCCAGTGATTCTCATTCCTCAGCCTCCCGAGTAGGGCTAATTTTTGTATTTTTTAGTAGAGATGGGGTTTCACCAAGTCAGCCAGGCTGGTCTTGAACTCCTGGCCTCAAGTGATCCACCCACCTCGGCCTTCCAAAGTGCTGGGGATTACACGTGTGAGCCACTGTGTTAGGCCACATTTTTATTTCCAATTATTTTGTTAGTATTTTGTTTACCCAGACAGAAAAGGAGGATTATACCCCATTCCACCATCCCAGTCCAACCTCTCCACTGTGGCTCCAATGCTACAGACCACTCCCAACTTCAGTCCTGGAAGAATGGAAGGCTGCAGCTGAGAGACTGGGGTTAGAAGTGATCTTCACAAATTGTTTGTGTACCCTCTGTCTAGAGTTCTTAAGGTATGGGTCCTCCAGGTGGTTTTCTCTTATGTAATCATGTTTATGAGGTGAAATTATTTGACAATGTGCTTGTACTATTTTCAAATAATGAAAACCAGTCATTGCCCTACTGATGTCTCATCAGAACAAAAATTCTGCCTTCCATGTGCAGACTGCTCACTGGTTTTCAGAACTACTGCTTCTCTCCTCCGGAACAGCTCTACCTTCCAACTGGGAAAGTGGCTGCACTGAGTTGTTCCTCCCGCCTCCCTTCTCTCCTGCTACCCCACCGGCTCCTCCTCCAACTTTGCAGATTCTCTAGGTTGATGTCTATGTTGATCTGCAGGTGGGCTCCAGTTGGAGAGTCTCTGGACAAAAGCAAAGCCTACTTTTCTCCAGGGTGAAAGGCGTGGGGAGAGGCCATGAGGATGGGAAGAGGAATGTGCCCGAAATCAAAATGCTTCTCTCCTGGATGCTTCTCCTGGAAGTCAGGAAAGAATTCTAGATCGCTAGCTCTGATCAGACTCTTGTGCTAAAGAAACAGGCTGTAGGGGAAGTCTCTTCTAACACTGCCCTGGAGCTATGTTATTTCCTAGACTGGCTCGGAAAATATCTGTCTTTGAGGACAATGCCGCTTTAGGGTAGAATCTAGCAAAACACCACCGTTCAACATGGTCCTGGCACGGGTCTTCCCTGTGGGCGTGGCAGGCCAAAAAGGACACATAGTTTAGGTTTGACAGCCTAAGATATGAATCCCAGTTGAGCCATTGACTAGCTGTGACCTTGAGCACAAGAACTTTCCTGAACTTCAAGTTTTCTCATCTGTAAGTCAGGGTTAATAATACTTACACGGTGGCCCTAAAAAATCAGAGAGAGAAAAAAATCTATGCAAAATGCCTGCTTCATACAAAGGGCCCAGAAAGCGGTAGTTTTTGTTTTTGTTGTTGTTGTTGTTGTTTGTTTTTAGACAAAGTTTCGCTCTTTTCGCCCAGGCTGGAGTGCAATGGCGCGTTCTCGGCTCACTGCAACATCTGCCTCCCGGGTTCAAGAGATTCTCCTGCCTCAGCCTCCCGAGTAGTTGGGATTACAGGCGCGCCACCACGCCTGGCTAATTTTTGTATTTTTAGTAGAGACAAGGTTTCTCCAGGTTTGCCAGGCTGGTCTCAAACTCCTGATCCCAGGTGGTCTGCCTGCCTCGGCCTCCCAAAGTGCTGGGATTACAGGCGTTAGCCACCGCGCTCGAAGCTATTATTTTTAATAACTGAAGGTAAGCCTAGGGGAAACTCAGAAATCAAGAACTCCTATAAGAAAAAAGGAACAGAAATAGCCTAGACTGGCGCTCCCCAGACTCTGCAGCTGGTGGCGCTGCCCACGGAGGGGGCAGGTTGGGGGCAGGGGATCAAGGGAAGACGAAGATGATGGGGCGCACGGCTAGTTTTGCGTCGGGAAAGGGTGGCCCTGGGCCTCTTGCGGGGGAAGGAAGAGATGAAGCCACGTGACAGAGTCAGAGCTCAAAGCCAAGCCCCGAGCGCGCGGCAGACCGGATGCGGGAAGTGGGCTCGGGGCCCTGCTCTCCTGCCCGGCTCGCCGGCCTGCGTCAGCTGACCTGGTTTCCGCGGGCCCCGCGCCCTCGCGCTCCCGCCACCCCCGACCCGCTCCGCGCCAGCCGGCCCAGCCCTCCCTCCCCAGCCAGCCCCGCCGCCGCGGCCTCTTGGCCCAGCGCCTGGGGCCGTCCTGCCGCTCCCCTGAGTCGCCCTGCGAAGGCCGCAGCCGCCTGCTTAGCCCAGGAACCTTCACCTCCCCAGGACCCGCGCCTTCACCTAGGGACTCCGCCCCCTGCTCCCCACGGCCGCCCTGCGCCCCTCTGTCCCCCGCAGCTGCCCGAGCCCCCAGCAAGGGCCACCGAGGGCTCCAGGAACACCCCAGGCCCGGTCTTCTCGCTCACAGCGCCCCACCTGTGACCCTTAGCGACCCTCCTGCGCTGCCCTGCGGCGGCGAGGTGGTCGGGAGGCTCCGCACCATCGCAGCCTCCCAGCCTCCCAGCCTCCCAGCCTCGCGCCGGGTATGGAGGGGAGGGTGGGGTTCCTGAGTCCGGAAGAAAGGGTCGCGGCTGCGGCCGCACTGGCCGTCGGGCCTACATCCGCCCCGCTGCCACGCGGTTCACAAACGAGGGAAGGGGAGAAGGGAAGAAACCCTTGATTCGGGTACACGTCCTTGTGCCTGGAACTGTACATCCTGTCCCCTCGCTTAATCCTCACAAGACCTGTGGGGCGTGTCGTCATTGTAGGCCTGGAGATGAGGAGGCCGAGGCTCGGAGAGATGAAGCATTGAACGGCCTCCGAGCGGCTGGTTTGCAGCAGAGCCAAAGCCAGCATTTTTTCTTAGCGGCGGTAGTTTGAGCCGCGCCTTACTGCAGCTACTCTGCCGTCAGCCGAGAGGTCACATCTTTTCTGGAACTCCCTCCCCGCTCACGTAATGGAAGCAGTCAGTCGACTCTTCCAGTAGAAATTATTTTGCCACTTTTGGGGGGAATCTTGAGTTACCAGCTCATCTCTCAGGTGTTGGATAACGCTTTCCTTGACCCCACAGGGTCCTCCAGCACCTCTGCTTCCTTTGTTGGTAGCCCTTATCATACCACCTATTGCAACTGCTCATTTTCTCATCTGTCCCTCTGCAGAGGGAGTGAAGGTACCTGAGTACCGGAACCGTGGTCTTCATTGCCACCTCAGCATTAGCTGAAGTGCCATGTGCCGACTCCCAGGGTGCCACAGCTTCCCAGGAACACCATTTAAGAACCCCTGAACTAGAGTTTGCAAGTTAAAAGTAAAGCAAGAAGGAAACCCAGAGACAACTGTGAAAATCTTTCATCACCTTCATATTGGCCATCATTTATTGAGTGCTTATTATACAACAGGCATTGTTTTCAGTGTGTGAATACAGTGTTCCTCAAACGTAAATGTGGGGCCCAACGCAGGGGATCTTGGTAAAATGCAGATTCTGATTCAGTACCTCTGGGGTGGGGCCTGAGATTCTGCATTTCCAACAAGCTCCCAGGATACTTTGTGTAGAAGGACATTGGCATATTAATTTATTCGATCTTCTTAATAATCCTAAAAAGTACCACTGCTATTCCCATTCTGCAGATGAGGAAACAGATTAAGCATTATGAACTTACATCAAAATAATAGACTGCAGGGCAAGGAGGGGGGGAATAGTGTGGGCAGTGTACAGTTTTAGAAGAAGCAGAAAGGAAGTTCTAGGCAGAAGAAAAAGGATTTACAGAAAACCTGACATGCAAGATAGGGGGACAGGGCCCACACCCAGGGCTGTTCACCATTAGATAATCTATGCACAGTACTTGGGGCTGTGGGCTTCCTGAAGGTCCCAAGTATTTGAGACCTGAAAAAAAATCTTTGGCACCTACACAGAAAAAAATTGAATATTTAAATTGACAATTCAAAAATTCAAATCATGAATTGTTTCAAAAATTTTGCATGATAGAATTCATATTTGGTAAGTGATATGGGAATATTTCAATGCATTTGATTTTAAAAAGGGGTAGGGCCTACTAAGGACAGGCCACTAAGAACAGGCCAAGCCCTGGCCTCACTGGGTTTGGATGTAATCCTGAGGGCAGCCAGGAACCACTGATAGAGGCAGGAGAATGTTCTCTGTGGCTACAGTGAGGAGAATGGATTGGAGGGAGGCCAGACTGAAGGCCGAGCGGCTAGAGACCAGATAGGCAGTTACAGTCTTCAGATTGCAAGACAATCTCTCTTTAGTGCCAAGCTTAGCATAAAATCATAGCATTATATAACCCAATTATTCTTTGATTCCTTCGGCCTCAATCTGACTCAGCATTCTAAATTTACTTAAGATCTGGGGACAAGCATTTTGCCAAATCCTTTCCCATGAAGGCAAATGATGTTACGATCAGCACATGCCTTGAGCCAGACAGACATGGGTACTGGCCTCAGTTCTGCTGCTTGGGTGACTTTGCACAAGTGATTTAATTTCTCTGGGCCTCAGATTCCTTACTGGTAACATGAGCATTATGTATTCCTCACAGAATTAAGTGAGAAAACTATGTATAGTCCTATGTGTAGGACTTCTTCTGGGGTGGGTACTTAGAAAGAAATGGTAGCTGTTATCATTTATGTGCCTTTGTTCTGAAATCTGCTTAAGTTTTCTCTAGGAATAGAGGGTAAAATATTTAGTATTTTCATCAATCTTCTGAGGTTAAAAATTATTATCCCCATTTTGCAGATAAGGAAAATGGTTCAGGGATTAGATCACAGCTCTGTGAAGCAGGGGCACAAAGTGATCAACCTGCAAGAGCTGGAACTTTATTTTCCTTGTCCTTCTGTCCATGCACTCGCTCCAGCAGTTGACATCTGCCCTCTTTGATGGCTCCACGACCAATTTCCCTTAGTCATGGCATGAGTCAGCCGTAAGGGCTGATGGCACACCACCGAATACTCTGCTGTGGCTCCACTAGCTGCCATTCTCCTTCTTCTCCAAACTTTTCCAGCCTCCCTAATACCTTGCCCCCCAGTTTTACAGCTTCTGGATTTTCCTTATTAAAGAGCTTGTCTCTGAGACTCAGACAGAACCACCCCAGACTGGGATGCCTTCCAGGGTACCTCCCTTTCAAGGGAGCAGATAAGTAGGTCACATCGGGATGGTGAGGGAGGAAGCCTGACTTCTTATGGGTGGAGGAAAAATACTGCAGGTCACATGGAGAATGGAAAACAAAATAACAGGGTTTCTCTCTTTGCCTAATTCTGTCACACAATCTCACCAGCGTTCTGGAACCAGCACAGGCAATACTGATCTTTTAGGGCTTGAGGACACTCGTGGCAACTTGAGCATAAGACTTGTTTGTCTACCCTGTGCTCCCCTACATCCCATCTCCCTCCTCTTCAGGCTACTCCACAGCCCCCAGGATATGTTTTTCTCCTATATGGTAAAGCGAAATCTCAGCTTCTATAGGAGCTTCCATCACCTTGTTGACTGCCCCTCAAGGGTCTGAAAGCATAGAGTTTTGCAGCCTGGAGGCTCTGTGGGGCAGGAAGGCACTGCCAGTGAGTGCCTGGAGCAGCCTGGATCCCATCTACAGAGACCCCATTGCAGCAACCAGGTTAGGTCATGGGCTCTGCAAGATTTCTGCTCCCCATCTCAACCCTAGTGAAGGTAGTTCACAAGGTATGTCAGCGAGCATTAAATGACATAGATCACCGTGAAAACCAGAAAGAGACAGACAGAGACAGTGACAGGACACAGGCAGGGTGCGGCATTACAGATCCAACACTACCAACCCCACCCTGCCCCACTATCCCTTGGGACTGAGCCCTGTTTGAATCATAACACTGGGCGGTCACATTTCTAGGAAACTGCAGCTGAAGAGGAAAGGTCCTGGCTGTGTGAGCCGGCCATGTACAGATTAGGACTGAACGTCTGTATCCGGGCAGACAATTGGTCACTGGACTCCACACCCGAGGCACAAGACAAACACACAAAACAAGGACCTAGGCCTGACCCCTGAAACCTGGGGGTAAACAAACCTGCTTCCCTGGACAGGGATTGTGGAAACAGGGAGTTCACCTCTGGAGAGGCGCAGGGGTTTTCCATTCTCCTGGCTTGAAGCCTGGTGAACTTCTAGCTCAGAGGCTCACCGTTCCAGGATACTGGGAGCTATTTCACAGAGGCTTGGAGGTGATGCTACAGACTTTGGGCTGGCACTGTCTCCTACCTGGCTTCCACGTTGCCCCCTGCCCTCCCTCCTCCTGTTCCCAAGACCCTCAGACTGTTCAGGGATGCTAGGCCCCCCTGCTCCTTTTCTTCCACCCCTGTAGAAAGCATATTTCCCCATGCCTCAGGTGTCTGTGCCCAGGTGCCCCGTAGGAAGGCACACTTTTGCCTTCAGTAGCTTTCTTTTTTTTGAAATGGAGTTTCGCTCTTGTTGCCCAGGCTAGAGTGCAATGGCATGATCTTAGCTCACCACAACCTCTTCCTCCCAGGTTGAAGTGATTCTCCTGCCTCAGCCTCCCGAGTAGCTGGGATTACAGGTGCCCACCACCATGCCTGGCTAATCTTTGTATTTTTAGTAGAGACAGTTTCACTATGTTGGTCAGGCTGGTCTTGAACTCCTGACCTCATGATCCACCCACCTCAGCCTCCTAAAGTGCTGGAATTACAGGCATGAGCCACCACGCCTGGCCCTGCCTTCAGTAGCTTTCTCCCCTCTCCTGAGAGGCAGGGCTGGGTGACAGGAGAGAGACATTCATCTTCACCTGAGCCCTTCATTATGTTTAATCTCTCTAGTGGGGGTGGGCCTGTCAAACACATCTCTTTCCTAGGTTGGAGTAATCCCAAACCATCTCTCATCACAGTGACTGTAAATCCCACAAGTATGTGGCGTGCACTAGTAGCAGTGACAGTGTGGAGGTGCCTCACACTGAAACAAGAAGTTTGGATTTGAGGGGCTGAGAACCTTTGTCTTGTTAGAAAGTGGCTGGCAGCTCCTCCTCCCCGGCATCTCCTCCAGCCTGGGCCCCTTGATCTGCTGACATCTCTGCGTGACTCTGGGTGCGCTGCGTACTCCAGGTCTAGTGCAAGTGCTACAGGACGACCTGGGAGAAAGCAGCTAGTCTTGAAACCTCCATAGCCCCCATACATCAGTCAGTTATGGATTTCAGTGGAGATTCTAAGACCTTAATATGTATCGGGATCACCAGGGGGCTTGGGAACACACAGAAAAAAAGAAGAAGAAGAAAGAAAGACCCTTTCACTGTGCATGGCAAATTAGATACACCAATTAGTCAATTAGTCAACAAATGCTTTTTTTTTTGAGACGGAGTCTGGCTCTCACCCAGGCTGGAGTGCAGTGGTGCAATCTAGGCTCACTGCAATCTCCACCTCCTGAGTTCAAGCCATTCCTCTGCTCTAGCCTCCCCAGTAGCTGGGACTACAGGCTCCCACCACCACACCTAGCTAATGTTTGTATTTTTGGTAGAGACAAGGTTTCACTGTGTTGGCCAGGCTAGTCTCGAACTCCTGACCTCCTGATCTGTCCGCCTTGGCCTTCCAGATTGCTGGAATTACAGATGTCAGCCACCACGCCTGGCACTTCTTTTTTTTTTTTTTTGAGATGGAGTTTCATTCTTGTCACCTTTTTGAGATGAAGTTTCACTTCATTGCACTTGAGGCTGGAGTGCAACGGCGTGATCTTGGCTCACTGTGACCTCCGCCTCCTGAGTTCAAGTGATTCTCCAGCCTCAACCTCCTGAGTAGTTGGAACTACAGGTGCCCACCATCACACTTAGCTAATGTTAATTTTTTTTGTGTTTTTAGTAGAGACAGGGTTTCACCATCTTAGCCAGGCTGGTCACGAACTCTTGACCTCAGATGATCCACCCACCTCAGCCTCCCAGGATACTGGGATTACACTTGTGAGCCACCATGTTCAGCCAAAAGGTTTATGTTTTATGGTAATCAGAAACAGTGTATAAATATGTGCATGTGTGTATGTGTAAAATAGCTTATGAAATCTACTCATTTGCATATAGGCACATCTGCTTCTCTAATTTTCTTTTTTAAACTACAAGTTTTTTCTATTCTAAATATAATATATGGGTTAGTAGAAAATGTGTAAAGGAAATAAAAAGTTAAAAGAAAAGTAATAGATGAAAATAAGTCATTCATAAACCTATAATCCAGAAATAACTAGTACTCACCTTTCGGTTTATTTTTTCCAAGTTTTCCTGCGCATATTTATTCTATATGATTTTTTTGGGGGGGGGGACGGAGCTTCGCTCTTGTTACCCAGGCTGGAGTGCAATGGCGCAATCTCGGCTCACCGCAACCTCCGCCTCCTGGGTTCAGGCAATTCTCCTGCCTCAGCCTCCTGAGTAGCTGGGATTACAGGCACGTGTCACCATGCCCAGCTAATTTTTTGTATTTTTAATAGAGACGGGATTTCACTATGTTGACCAGGATGGTCTCGATCTCTTGACCTTGTGATCCACCCGCCTCGGCCTCCCAAAGTGCTGGGATTACAGGCTTGAGCCACCACACCCAGCTCTATATGATTTTTAAACGAAATTGAGATGAAATCTTTATGTGCTATGTATCTTACTTTTTTTTTGAGATGGAGTCTCGTTGTGTTGCCAGGCTGGAGTGAAGTGGCACGATCTTGGCTTACTGCAACATCTGCCTCCTGGGTTCAAGTGATTCTCCTGCCTCAGCCTCCCAAGTAGCTGGGACTACAGGTGCTTGCCACCACACCTGGCTAAATTTTGTTTTTAGTAGAGACAGGGTTTCACCACGCTGGCCAGAATGGTCTCAATCTCCTGACCTCATGATCTTCCTGCCTTGGCCTCCCAAAATACTGAGATTACAGGTGTGAGCCTGGCTGTATCTTACTTTTTTAAAAATAACATATGATTAGCATTTTACTATTCCCTTAAGTATTCTTCCAAAACATAAAATATTATTTCATGACATTTATTTACAGATGTATCAAACTTTAACCACTTCTGCATTATTGGACTCTCCATTTTTGTAATGAATAATATTTCAATGAACATCTTTGCATATCTAAACACATCTTTGATCATATTCTTAGGCTGATTCTAGAAGTGAGATTATTAGGTCTTTTTTTTTTTTTAGGCGAGAGATAAGAGTCTCACTTTGTTGCCCAGGCTGGAGTGCAGTGGCATGATCTCAGCTCACTGCAACCTCCACCTCCCAGGTTCAAGCAATTCTCATGTCTCAACCTTCTGAGTAGCTGATATTACAGGTACATGCCACCATACCTGGCTATTTTTTTTTTGAGACAGAGTCTTGCACTATCACCAGGCCGGAGTGCAGTGGCATGGTCTTGACTCACTTCAACCTCCGCTTCCCGGGTTCAAGCAATTCTCCTGCCTCAGCCTCCCAAGTATCTGGGACTACAGGCATGTGCCACCACGCCCAGCTAATTTTTGTATTTTTAGTAGAGACGGGGTTTCACCATGTTGGCCAGGATGATTCTGCCTCTTGACCACGTCACCCGCCCACCTCGGCCTCCCAAAGTGCTGGCATTACAGGTGTGAGCCATCGTGGCTGGCTAATTTTTCTTTTTCTTTTTCTTTTTTTTTTTTTGAGATGGGGTTTCTCTCTTTTCACCCAGGCTGGAGTGCAATGGTGCGATCTCGGCTCACCGCAACCTCCGCCTCCTGGGTTCAGGCAATTCTCCTGCCTCAGCCTCCTGAGTAGCTGGGATTACAGGCACGCGCCACCGTACCCAGCTAATTTTTTGTATTTTAAGTAGAGACGGGGTTTCACCATGTTGACCAGAATGGTCTCGATTTCTTGACCTCGTGATCCACCCGCCTCGGCCTCCCAAAGTGCTGGGATTACAGGCTTGAGCCACCGCACCTGGCCGGCTGGCTAATTTTTATATTTTTAGTAGAGGTGGAGTTTCACCATGTTGCACAGGCTGGGCTCGAACTGAGCTCAAGTGATCCTCCTGTTTCAGCCTCCCAAAGTGCTAGGATTGCAGGTGTAAGCCACTGCGCCTGGCAGGTTATTTATTTATTTATATATTTTTCTGTGCCATTCAG